CAACCTGGGATGTGTGTCACGGTCTAATGTACGTCGACAACCTGGGATACGTGTCACGGGCTAATGTACGTAGACAACCTGGGATGTGTGTCACGGGCTAATGTACGTCGACAACCTTGGATACGTGTCACGGTCTAATGTACGTAGACAACCTGGGATGTGTGTCACGGTCTAATGTTCGTCGACAACCTGGGATACGTGTCACGGTCTAATGTACGTAGACAACCTGGGATGTGTGTCACGGTCTAATGTACGTAGACAACCTGGGATACGTATCACGGTCTAATGTACGTAGACAACCTGGGATACGTATCAAAGTCTAATGTACGTAGACAACCTGGGATACGTGTCACGGTCTAATGTACGTAGACAACCTGGGATACGTGTCCAGGGCAAATGTACGTAGACTACCTTGGATATGTGTTGATTAAACTCCAAATTTCTTTTCGATCGGGAATATTTAGATACTAGAAACGTAGACAACCTGGGATGTGTGTCACGGGCTAATGTACGTCGACAACCTGGGATGTGTGTCACGGGCTAATGTACGTCGACAACCTTGGATACGTGTCACGGTCTAATGTACGTAGACAACCTGGGATGTGTGTCACGGTCTAATGTACGTCGACAACCTGGGATACGTGTCACGGTCTAATGTACGTAGACAACCTGGGATGTGTGTCACGGGCTAATGTACGTCGACAACCTGGGATACGTGTCACGGTCTAATGTACGTAGACAACCTGGGATGTGTGTCACGGTCTAATGTTCGTCGACAACCTGGGATACGTGTCACGGTCTAATGTACGTAGACAACCTGGGATGTGTGTCACGGTCTAATGTACGTAGACAACCTGGGATACGTATCACGGTCTAATGTACGTAGACAACCTGGGATACGTATCAAAGTCTAATGTACGTAGACAACCTGGGATACGTGTCACGGGCTAATGTACGTCGACAACCTGGGATGTGTGTCACGGGCTAATGTACGTCGACAACCTTGGATACGTGTCACGGTCTAATGTACGTAGACAACCTGGGATGTGTGTCACGGTCTAATGTACGTCGACAACCTGGGATACGTGTCACGGTCTAATGTACGTAGACAACCTGGGATGTGTGTCACGGGCTAATGTACGTCGACAACCTGGGATACGTGTCACGGTCTAATGTACGTAGACAACCTGGGATGTGTGTCACGGTCTAATGTTCGTCGACAACCTGGGATACGTGTCACGGTCTAATGTACGTAGACAACCTGGGATGTGTGTCACGGTCTAATGTACGTAGACAACCTGGGATACGTATCACGGTCTAATGTACGTAGACAACCTGGGATACGTATCAAAGTCTAATGTACGTAGACAACCTGGGATACGTGTCACGGTCTAATGTACGTAGACAACCTGGGATACGTGTCCAGGGCAAATGTACGTAGACTACCTTGGATATGTGTTGATTAAACTCCAAATTTCTTTTCGATCGGGAATATTTAGATACTAGAAACGTAGACAACCTGGGATGTGTGTCACGGGCTAATGTACGTCGACAACCTTGGATACGTGTCACGGTCTAATGTACGTAGACAACCTGGGATGTGTGTCACGGTCTAATGTACGTCGACAACCTGGGATACGTGTCACGGTCTAATGTACGTAGACAACCTGGGATGTGTGTCCAGGGCAAATGTACGTAGACTACCTTGGATACGTGTCACGGTCTAATGTACGTAGACAACCTGGGATGTGTGTCACGGGCTAATGTACGTCGACAACCTTGGATACGTGTCACGGTCTAATGTACGTAGACAACCTGGGATGTGTGTCACGGTCTAATGTACGTCGACAACCTGGGATACGTGTCACGGTCTAATGTACGTAGACAACCTGGGATGTGTGTCACGGGCTAATGTACGTCGACAACCTGGGATACGTGTCACGGTCTAATGTACGTAGACAACCTGGGATGTGTGTCACGGGCTAATGTACGTCGACAACCTGGGATACGTGTCACGGTCTAATGTACGTAGACAACCTGGGATGTGTGTCACGGTCTAATGTACGTCGACAACCTGGGATACGTGTCACGGTCTAATGTACGTAGACAACCTGGGATGTGTGTCCAGGGCAAATGTACGTAGACTACCTTGGATATGTGTTGATTAAACTCCAAATTTCTTTTCGATCGGGAATATTTAGATACTAGAAACGTAGACAACCTGGGATGTGTGTCACGGGCTAATGTACGTCGACAACCTTGGATACGTGTCACGGTCTAATGTACGTAGACAACCTGGGATGTGTGTCACGGGCTAATGTACGTCGACAACCTTGGATACGTGTCACGGTCTAATGTACGTAGACAACCTGGGATGTGTGTCACGGTCTAATGTACGTCGACAACCTGGGATACGTGTCACGGTCTAATGTACGTAGACAACCTGGGATGTGTGTCACGGGCTAATGTACGTCGACAACCTTGGATACGTGTCACGGTCTAATGTACGTAGACAACCTGGGATGTGTGTCACGGTCTAATGTTCGTCGACAACCTGGGATACGTGTCACGGTCTAATGTACGTAGACAACCTGGGATGTGTGTCACGGTCTAATGTACGTAGACAACCTGGGATACGTATCACGGTCTAATGTACGTAGACAACCTGGGATACGTATCAAAGTCTAATGTACGTAGACAACCTGGGATACGTGTCCAGGGCAAATGTACGTAGACTACCTTGGATATGTGTTGATTAAACTCCAAATTTCTTTTCGATCGGGAATATTTAGATACTAGAAACGTAGACAACCTGGGATGTGTGTCACGGGCTAATGTACGTCGACAACCTTGGATACGTGTCACGGTCTAATGTACGTAGACAACCTGGGATGTGTGTCACGGTCTAATGTTCGTCGACAACCTGGGATACGTGTCACGGTCTAATGTACGTAGACAACCTGGGATGTGTGTCACGGTCTAATGTACGTAGACAACCTGGGATACGTATCACGGTCTAATGTACGTCGACAACCTGGGATACGTATCAAAGTCTAATGTACGTAGACAACCTGGGATACGTGTCCAGGGCAAATGTACGTAGACTACCTTGGATACGTATCAAGGTCTAATGTACGTAGACAACCTGGGATACGTGTCCAGGGCAAATGTACGTAGACTACCTTGGATATGTGTTGATTAAACTCCAAATTTCTTTTCGATCGGGAATATTTAGATACTAGAAACGTAGACAACCTGGGATGTGTGTCACGGGCTAATGTACGTCGACAACCTTGGATACGTGTCACGGTCTAATGTACGTAGACAACCTGGGATGTGTGTCACGGTCTAATGTACGTAGACAACCTGGGTAACGTCTCTAGGGCTATTGTACGTAGACAACCTGGGATACGTATCACGGTCTAATGTACGTAGACAACCTGGGATACGTATCACGGTCTAATGTACGTAGACAACCTGGGATACGTATCACGGTCTAATGTACGTAGACAACCTGGGATGTGTGTCACGGGCTAATGTACGTCGACAACCTTGGATACGTGTCACGGTCTAATGTACGTAGACAACCTGGGATGTGTGTCACGGGCTAATGTACGTCGACAACCTTGGATACGTGTCACGGTCTAATGTACGTAGACAACCTGGGATGTGTGTCACGGGCTAATGTACGTCGACAACCTTGGATACGTGTCACGGTCTAATGTACGTAGACAACCTGGGATGTGTGTCACGGGCTAATGTACGTCGACAACCTTGGATACGTGTCACGGTCTAATGTACGTAGACAACCTGGGATGTGTGTCACGGTCTAATGTACGTAGACAACCTGGGTAACGTCTCTAGGGCTATTGTACGTAGACAACCTGGGATACGTATCACGGTCTAATGTACGTAGACAACCTGGGATACGTATCAAAGTCTAATGTACGTAGACAACCTGGGATACGTGTCCAGGGCAAATGTACGTAGACTACCTTGGATACGTATCAAGGTCTAATGTACGTAGACAACCTGGGATGTGTGTCACGGTCTAATGTACGTAGACAACCTGGGTAACGTCTCTAGGGCTATTGTACGTAGACAACCTGGGATACGTATCACGGGCTAATGTACGTCGACAACCTTGGATACGTGTCACGGTCTAATGTACGTAGACAACCTGGGATGTGTGTCACGGTCTAATGTACGTAGACAACCTGGGTAACGTCTCTAGGGCTATTGTACGTAGACAACCTGGGATACGTATCACGGTCTAATGTACGTAGACAACCTGGGATACGTATCACGGTCTAATGTACGTAGACAACCTGGGATACGTATCAAGGTCTAATGTACGTAGACAACCTGGGATACGTATCACGGTCTAATGTACGTAGACAACCTGGGATACGTATCAAGGTCTAATGTACGTAGACAACCTGGGATACGTGTCCAGGGAAAATGTACGTAGACTACCTTGGATATGTGTTGATTAAACTCCAAATTTCTTTTCGATCGGGAATATTTAGATACTAGAAATATTCTTAAAAGTTGTAGCTACTTTAATCTGAGATCTGAGATCTTGAAATGCGCTGTAACTTCTACAGTGCACATAGGGAGACTGTTCGAGCGGGATAGTCCGTAGCCCAATTTCAGACATACAGAAAAACTTATGTTGAATGATGAACGAAAGAGTGGATACGGTAACAGCAGATAACTGCCAGGCATACGTGTCCCTTGCTGTTATCGATATCTACCACGCTGATCACCTTCATGGAACGAGCGGTGGGGTAGCCCAGTGGTAAACGTGTTCACTCGTCACGTCGAGCAGCCTGGTTCTAATCCACATATGGGTAGATTTTGTGCACCCTTTTCAGATGTCCCACACCGTGTTAGTGGTGGAATACTGTAAAATGCGGCGTAAAACCATTCTCGCTCACCTTCCTTGTGACATTTATTTTGAACATGTTGTTCAATAAAGAAAGTAATTTGTCTTTCAGCCTGAAATTGTAGGAGCGCAGTTCACCTGGAACGGGCAGAGAAAAGCTAAGGGGAGCTTCTTTGTGGCGACGAGTCCCGAGTTCGACATGGCGATATACTCAATCTGTGCCTTGGTGCGCCCTAATGCTGTCTGCTCCTTCAACATGGACGGCCACTCCATCAGGATACAGACGTGGGATGTCGCTCACAAGTCGGGGTCACAGATCGCCTCGGCTTACCCCCTGTAGATTGGCTGTCAGGAGACCGGTGACACAGACCCTCACATCAACTTCCGATCAAATCAGACTGATGATCACAAAGCCTTAATAACTACATATTCTCAATAAATTCAGAGAGGCCCTTGTGCTGTCTTGACAGCCGCTGGTTCTCGTTATCCTGGTGTCAAACAATAAATGACATAACATTGGTGTTATGGAATAAATCATAAGCATGCATTTACAAACATTGCAACTTTTCTTCACATAATTTAATTTGCATGTTACGTTTATCTCACATATGCTGATTCTCATTAAGCCTTCACAATTAGCCTGTATGAACAATAACGGGAAGTGACTCGTTATTACTGACTTTTTCTGATGTTGAAATGTGTCTTGTGTGTGATTATGGTCTTTTGCCCGCGTAAGCTCAGACGTCCATACAGTTTGACTCGCACTCTATGAGGTGAGGTGAAATTGGGTTTAACGTCGCGTCCAAGATTATTGCACTTATATTGCGACGTGCACGCACGTGTGTGTGTGTGTTTGTGTGGCTGCTTGTACTAGTCCGGACTGATGCCGATTTATAGTGCTAGCACACTGAGATACCATGCCGCAGTTTAACACGAATACCCCACTCAGACACAGTATACTGACTCCGACCCGACCAGTCCTTGCTCTAACCCCTTAATGCCGAGCGCCATACAGGGTAACAACAAGTACCATCTCTTAGCGTCTTTTGGGATGACGCGGCCGGGGATCGAACCCCGGACCTTGCGCTCTCCGGGCGGACGCTCTACCACTAGGCCACGGAGGCGGTCTCTCGCTCTATGAAGGTTCATACTCCAATGAACTCACGCATATGTAAAAGTCAATTCTTGATTATTCGTAGCCACGAATGTAAGACTTGTTCAGATTCAAAGCTTATGAACGGTTCAACATAGTCCAAAACACAACAAACAAGCATTGCTATAATAAATAACTATTATCTTTAATGCATAGAGTACAGCATCCTCGTTTATCAAGAGTAGGTATTTGAACACTGTAGTAACCATAGCATTCAGTCATAAAGATACTGCCACCTAAAGTGAAACACGTATCTAAGGCATATATCCTTCAGTGGTAGTACACCAACCCATTTAAAGTCATCTTCCCGAGGCAAAAGCGTCCACTAGCCTTATTATCAAAGTCTTGTTTCCGCCTTTGGCCCATCAAGCCCACATTCCTGTGTTAAATATGATTGGACTATCGTTCATATCGATAGTCCAATCAGAGAACGTTTCACAAAATCAACATCCATGACTGGTACACCTTCGTATGAAAGTGATTTACCGCTGTTGAAACGGATATGTCTTTTGCCTCCAACGATAGCATACGTTTTTGTGTCAGGGATAAAACTGCGAATGTTTTCGTCATCTCATCGACTTGGTTGTTGCCTATGGAAGACGCCATCTTTCTGAAACTATACACGAGATAAGAACAGCGATCTGATTGGATATCGCGCTTTCATTACAAGGGGCACAACTCATTATATACGCGAGGTGGCGCCAGGGTCTTGCCAAGAAAAGTGGTCTTGATATTGGCTAGTGGACACGCTTGCCTCGGGAAGATGATCTAAAATCGACCTGAACAGTTTCTCGGTGACTCAGGAACACAGATCCACATAACCTTGATAAACGAGATGATAGTATATGATGTCCTACAGTGATAATAAAACAATGTACATCACAGCAATAGTTCCCGTATGTACAAAAAAATCAACGAAGTATAAAGAATATTTACATAACATTATGAATACACGCAGTACTCTCAGCTCTCTCAAAGAAAGTCACGTACAGACTGCGTGTGATCTAGTACTGAGCGGAAGTGTTAAAAACCCTCGTTTGGTGAGAAGAGAAAAACAGTGTAGAGAGCAATACAAAAGGAATCACAGCATAGCCTTGTCAAAGACACGAAGTAGACAGGCCCCTACTCAGCCCATCTTGGCTGGTGAAGCAAGTATTTGGACCTGAATTGGCCTTACTGATCTGAATTCAGACACTTAACAAAACCTGTCCCTCTATCTATATGATGTCACAAGCATCACTTAATTTCTATTTGTATCTTATTGTCAAATGCCACATGCCTAAGTTTCTGTTTAAAAATGTGACAGTATGTCATCACATTGTCTGTCATACAGACCTGAAACAAATATATTCTGTAAATCCTTGAAAGTCTACAACAGTTTGCAAGTCTAGATTACTGCAGATTCTGAAAACGAACAAAGTCTCTGGACTCCTTTTTAATAGATTTTATTAAGATAAGCTAACAACTGTTTGTTTTTTCAGTAAAACAATTTTTCAGAGACAATATGTTTTTTTTTCTAGTCAGCACACTGTTGAGCTGTATGGGATTAACTCTCTTTTGTAGTTTTGTAGAGAAATTGAAAAAAACTAGCCGAACTCCATAAAATATACTTAAAACAATACATATCACATATCAAAACTCTACAAAGTTGATCACATTAGTTTGAAAATATAATTGAACATTACTATACCATACTTTACTCCGACCCTGCCCTAACTTTGAAATATTTGCCCTGGTATTTAAGGTAACTGACAAATAAATGTGCAGTTTGATTATCGTTTAACCACACAATCAGCAATATTCCTGCTATATGACAGCGGTGTGTAAATAATCATTTTCAAACCATACAATTCGTTGATAGATCTTGTGAACAATGATCCATACTGTCAATATACTGTGACATGTCATCAATCAAGTCACCGAGCCTGACCACCTATTCCATTTTCTCACCTCTTATGGAATAGGTTAGACGAGTTCTAACAGGGAATCCCCACATGAGTGTGCAGTTTGTAATATCTGTGTATTCTGCATGTACCTACAGATCTTGGAGCCTTCTAAGTAAACATCAACAAGGAGAGGAGCTACTTTGCAAATTAATTATGGCAGCTGATCACAGTGAGTGAGTTTGGTGTAACGCCGCTTTAACAGTATTCCAGTTATATCACGACGTGTCAGCTTAATGTGGGAGGAAAGCCTGAAGTGATGCAGGTCTCAGACGTTTACCACTTCGGTGAAACCCACGAGCATGGGTATGGTGCTGACAAACCTAGAAACATAATCGGGGCGAACCGGGATTTGAACCCACAATCATAGGTTTCTGGAGTGCCCTGGGACGCAACTCTGCACAGCGAATCGTGGCGCCTTAGACGACTGGCCACCCGTGCCCCAAGGTGATCACAGATAAGTCCATCCTTTCAGTTATGGGTCATGATGACGTTCTGTTTGGCTTCCCTTTCTGTGCACAAAGTCAGCCTAGCAGCCTAGCGTGTTTTACCAGGTCGACCAAATTCTTTGTGGGCCAAACATTATTATGTAATTGTAAGTGCCTCATGGGTACCAGTTGACGACTTGTCTTCAAATCCATATGTACATGTAATATTTTAAGATTACCGAAGGTTATGAACAGTCAAGTCATACCCCACTGCTATCATTATTGCAGAAATATCATACTGGCAAAACCAAGAAATATTTTGACTGCATAGGTCAATATGCCTTCCTCCAACTGCTAAAATTTACCTGCAGATCTCAACGCATTGCCAAACTTCTCTAAGGCACAATGTCACTCCTGTGGGCTGATTACACTGAATCACACTACACATTAGGTGTCTCCACACAGGGAAGGCTGACATTATCAACATATTGCAGGATGCATAGACAATGATATTCACCACTGACAACATCAACAGTTCACCTTGCTCGACAGTGGGCTCAAACTCATGGCCTGAAGACACTGTAGATTAACATTTCCCATGTTTAAGTTTACACATGTATCTGCCAAATAATTAAACTCCATGTGGTGAACTTGAGCATATAAAATGTTGAAATCATTTAAACAACAACATTGTTTAATTCATTTAACAGACAGAGCTCAAGATAAGCTGCATATCTGTGTAAAATATGCAAACTAAATCACTATGCTACAATTAAAGTTGAGTTGCTTGCATGAAGAAATTTGATCAGTCATGACATGGCATAACAACTCAGGATTCAAACACTAATGATGTAGCGCCATGATCATTCACTTGGTGAATTGAATTTGGCGCATTAAGAGTGAGTGAGTGAGTTGGGTTTAACGCCGCTTTTAACAATATTCCAGTTATATCGCGGCGTGTCAGCTTAATGTGGGAGGAAAGCCTGAAGTGATGCAGGTCTAAGAGGTTTACCACTTCGGTGAAACCCACGAGCACGGGTATGGTGCTGACAAACCTAGAAACATAATCGGGGCGAACCGGGATTCGAACCCACAATCATAGGTTTCTGGCGTACCCAAGGGACGCAACTCTGCACAGCGAATCGCGGCGCCTAAGACGACTGGGCCACCCGTGCCCCCGGCGCATTAAGAATGAACTTATTATTATTATTATTATTATTATTATTAAGTGACCATAAAACAAATACCGTATTCGACATAATAAGCGCCCATGTCGCTCTCCAAATTAGAAATAGGGGGCTCTTATTAGAATATAATTATGGTGAAAGAGTTGGAAGATCGTAAATTTCGTGGTTTATGCTGACAGCCTGAAATGATATGAAAGAAAAGTCTGTGCGTTTTGTATATTTTTCCAGAATTTAATTTCCCGTAATTAAGGGTGCATATAACACACGAGTGCGTATTATACACAAACAAATAAGTCTTGTGTACATTGATCAATCGGAAGGGTGCTAACTGGGATTGTTTACTAAGCAATATAGTGGCAAATATCGCTGTGGGCACTTATTAGAGCGGGGTGCTTATTACGTCGAATACGGTAGTATGATTACAGAAGCAAAGACACTTATGCGCAAACTGCTTGCATCCATGAAAACACTTTCTATGCTATTTTGCTGTAGCATAAGTAACTGTCTCAATGGCTACCCTGCTTGCAGTTTTAACCGTTTATTTTCCATATATGGCCACAGCGTAAGATATTAAATCAGCTTCCTACACATCATTTTGATTTATTTTTGAGATAATTATTTTCTACAATAATTAATGTGATGTTTTTACATATCTGTATTCATATCATAATAAAGGCCATAATGAACTTCATATGACAAAGAAGAAGATACTTAGAAATGAGGTGAAATGGGCCTTGCAGTCGTGGTCAAGATTATTGCACTTAAACAGCGACATGTAGACAATAATGAACGCTATATGATAACAAAGAAGGAAATGGCCATGCGTTTGTATCTACAAACTGAATCTATCCAGAAAGCACTGGATATTATGCACACTTCTAGCATCTTTCCTACATCTTCACGTCAATTCTATTACATTCACAATAGACTTATGCTTCAGTGTAAAAGAATACAAAGTTGTGGGTTTTCGTGGCTTGTTGAAGATTTTCTCGCACATTTGTGTAGGAAACATATGACATGTATAGTGCTAGAAACAAGCACCTGCCCGTAGGCCCGTAGCAGGTAGATCTCTTGTTTGGCCTGTAGTTTTAAAGTTGTATAGGTTCTTATGGCCTATCTATTTGTCACAATAAGCTGCAGTTTTCTTAAATGAGGGCCTGAAGAGTTTAGGGCCTGCAGCTTCTAAGGTCTGTGGGTTCTGATGGCAGCCAGGCAAGTTTTTCTATTCAAACACTGGTTGTATATCAATCATATCAACACTTACTGGAATTCATCTGACCCCTGCTTCAATGACCTAGTCCATGGCTTCAACTACTGAACATGACTTGTCATTCACTCTGTGCCTGCTCCTGTCATAGACTAGGTATTTCACCTGACTCTCTTGGATGAAGTAGCAACCACAAAGATGACATTCCTGCGACATTGTGCACTGACTGCACTTAGCTTATGTTAGCACAACAATAGTCCGGTAGGGGAACATTTCAGTACACGCTTTAGCCTATTGATGAAATGAGATTCGTGGTCAGCGAGAATTGAATATTGTTTTGCACCACAGTCAGGAATATTGCAGCTGTATCAACCTAATTTGCCCTTCAGTTTTTAAACTCATGTCATTTCCTGACTTGTCTGTCAAACTGATTAGGTAGAAACTGATTACAGGTCAAAACACTCTAAGACTTTCATTTCAACATATATGTCATAGTGTTGTAACATACTTGATAATTTATGCCTCCTAATTAAATCAACATTTAATTCAAGCATTAGATGTTAAAACTTATTTGCCCATTGAACACACAAGCACAACTTAACATGCCTTCCTTGACCTTGACCTTGACCTTGACAGAAGCAATCAAAATCTAATCCTACCCAGACCCTGCTACGTAGGACTCCAGTTATTGTGATCTTAAACTGTATTTATACAGGATTCAAATGGCCATGTTTCTCACTGATCCAAGACAAATGCAAGTTTGTAACTTTTTTCTCCAATAGTAATGTAGTACTATTGATAAAATATTTGTGGACTGGTTACATTAAAATTGTGATGTTTACCCTTGACATGCTTCAATAAAAGTGACCTTGACCTTTAATGGCAAACAATCATATGCCAGAAAAAATCCGAATAAAGAACTAGGTGATTAATGTAAAGATTAATGTATTGTGAACATGTTTGCGAAAATGGACAGTCAATTGACTCACAACCCCATTTCTGATAGCTGTCATAGCGGCCATTTTGAATGGCCAAAAGAATATTAGTAAAATACCCCCAACCACATCCCGTGACTTCCATCACAGCAGCTGATGTCCCACCTGTAGGAGAAACAAGTACACAAATACCAGAAAAAGACGATACAAAAACACCAGATACTCCCGAGTGGTCTGCTACACAGCTGTCCTAGCTGCCTTTACCTGTTCCCTCACACCGAGCACTGGCGGATCCAGGAGATCCAGAGGGGAGATGCTGTGGGACGCACGTACCCCATTTTTCAGACACCTCACATGTTAACTGCACTCTCGACGACTTAAGTACAGTGAGCATACACCCACCCTATCCCCTTTTCAAAATCCTGTAATCCTGTACGCCTCTGCCGAGATATTCATGGCTGAAAGTTGTCCTCCTTATTTACATTACAATGAGCCATACATCAGACATTCTTCACTCCCTTCTCCATATGAACTGCTATACTGTGGCCGGAGTCGTGTGCTGGACGCTCGCACACCTGAAACAGATTTCTGGACTTCACCACACGAAGTTGACGAGATACCCAACAGTGGCGGCATGGCCATACCAATCATCATTGTATTTGTTTAATTTCAATAAAATGCATTTCATTAAATTGACCTTATCTGACATGGCCTGACATGATTTCCCTTGTTTTCTGAAGTTTTTGTTGGTTAAATTTTGGTAGGTGATATGTGAGAAAAAAATTAAATAACTAAAAAAAATTTCAGGTTAGGCTAAAAAAATAATAGTCACTGCCCGCATCATCATAAAGTCCGCTGCATGTTTAATTTTTATTTCCATTTCCCCCAAAATAAAAAAAATCCAAAGACTTAAAAACAATGTGATCCCATATAGCACACAGTTACTTCCCTTTATATGTGGACTGCTTTCAAGCGCATCTTGTGCTATTGTCATTGCGGCAATAGGAGTTTGTATGCTTGTTTATGTAGAGAGGCCCCTTCCCAGGTTGATGGTACACAACTGTTTATTTGGTTACATACTAGTTTGAACAAGCAAAAAAACAAACAAACACCCGCCCTCTCGCACTATATTTTGAAAAGTCATTGCCAGAGAACAAATTCTTTTTTACCCAATTGTAAATAGACTGCAGTTTATTCTATAATATAAGAAAGCTCCACGATAAATCGCAAAGAACAATGAATGAAGCATGTCAAAGTGGTGGTCTTAACTGTTCTGTGCAAACATATGATGACAATGTATGAATTATCTTCCAGCAGTATACTTTTTATCAATTTGATATGCAATGCACATATCAAGACAACAGTCTTTCACTTTAGTGAACGAGTGTGTTTTACACCGTTTTGAAAAGCATTTAATTTGTATCAGCAGGTGTCAGCTAAATGTGGAAAGCCTGAAGTGATGCGAGTACTCGACATTTACCATTTTGGTGAAAGACACAGGTATGGTGATGACAAACAAAAGATGATTCAGTGGATCATTCAAGCCTTACCTCCTTGAGAAAACTGTGCCAGGCTTCATAGTAGCCCGGACTCATCCAGGTCTCGTTGTGAGACCCCCCTGGGAACCGACTGATTCTCTTCAGAGGGCTGCTTGAACTCTGACAAACACATCACAGACACATAGACATATGACATGTTAAGAGATGAGAAGTTTCTTTCAATCATCCAATGTTTCAAATTGTTCTGTAAACAGATTTTTCGACGACTCAATTCCCACATTACTTCATGAGCATCGATCCACGCAATTGGGATACTATGACATGCATCTACCAAGTCAGCGAGTCTGACCACTTGATCCCGTTAGTCGCCTCTTACGACAAGCATATTCGCCTTTTACTAATGAATAAGTAGTCATTTTACATCATATTTTCCCAGATGACTAGCGACGGTGTCTAACCCGGGTAATATTTCATGCTAGTGAGTGAGTATGGTTTTACGCCGCTTTTAGCAATATTCCAGCAATATCATGGCGGAGGACACCAGATATGGGCTTCACACAATGTACCCATGTCAGGAATCGAGCCCAGGTCTTTGGCTTGACAAGCAAACGCTTTAACCACTAGGCTTCCTGACTGTCCCTATTTGCTGTTAAATTCCACACTCAGCCATTGGCAAGGTACATGATGGTAGCTTGTAAATAATCATGTATCAGTACTAGCACTGGGAGCAGTACTAATCTGGAAGTTGAAATACATTTTTGTTCTCGCGACCACCTACATTGAATTTTAGGCCAGAATGTTTGTCAACTAACTAATAAGAATTAATAGTCTGAAGTGATGGACATAGCATCTGCTCCTACCTCGAACAGATCCGTCATCATCCGTGGCGGAATCAGCTGGTCTCCGAGCCCAGAGAGGAAAAGGATAGGAAGACATAATTTGTCAAGCCGCTTCTTGGACGGGTACTGAAACAGTGTATAACATGGTACAACAAGATACATGATACAAAGAGGCTTTGAGAGCAGTCAATACAACATCACTAATTACTTGCTCACCTCTACAGTAAAACATACATCAAACACATAGTAGGGACATCACTCATAAACAAAAGAGCAGAATAAAACATTGCCAAATACAATCCTGCTAACAAAATATATCTCAGGGACCAAGATAATATTGTTAAACCATTGGGTATTTACTCATGTGTTATCATTCACATTGGGTATTTACTCATGTTATCATTCATGTTTGGTATATACTCATTTTATCAATCACATTGGGTATTTCCTCGTGTTATCATTCAGATTTGGTATTTACTCATGTTATCATTCACATTGGGTATTTTCTCATGTTATCATTCACATTGGGTATTTACTCATGTTATCATTCACATTGGGTATTTACTCATTTTATCATTCACATTGGGTTTTTTGTCGTGTTATCATTCACATTGGGTATTTACTCATGTGTTATCACTTACTTTGGGTATTTTCTCATGTTATCATTCATGTTTGGTATTTACTCATTTTATCATTCACATTGGGGATTTACTCATGTGTTAGCACTTACTTTGGGTATTTACTCGTGTTATCATTCACATTGGGTATTTACTCATGTTATCACTCACATTGGGTATTTACTCATGTTATTCACATTGAGTATTTACTCATGTTATCATTCATATTGGGTATTTACTCATGTTATCATTCAAATTGGGTATTTACTCATGTTATCATTCACACTGGGTATTTACTCATGTTATCATTCACATTGGTTATTTACTCATGTTATCATTCACATTGGTTATTTACTCATGTTATCATTCACAGTGGGTATATACTCATGTTATCATTCACATTGGTTATTTACTCATGTTATCATTTACATTGGGTATTTACTCATGTTATCATTCACATTGGGTATTTACTCATGTTATCACTCACATTGGGTATTTACTCATGTTATCATTCACATTGGGTATTTACTCATGTTATCACTCACATTGGGTATTTAATCCTGTGTTATAATTCACATTGGGTATTTACTCATGTGTTATAATTCACATTGGGTATTTACTCATGTGTTATAATTCACATTGGGTATTTACTCATGTGTTATAATTCACATTGGGTATTTACTCATGTGTTATCACTCACACTGGGTCTTACTCGTGTTATCATTCACATTAGGTATTGACAGGTTTCTTTGGGTATTCAATACATACTGAACTAATTAAGTTAGGGATCATGAATAATATTGGGCATATTTTTATGAAACTGCATGCTCAGTCTTCACTACAAAAGAATATCCCCCAAAATATTTATGATCTGACTTTTTTGGTTCAGTATATATTCTTAAACCAGAGGACATTTTTAAAATTATGCTGTTTCAGGTAACTTCTCATTTTCTTGTGTTCATATGCTGCCCTAAGTATGTCACATGTTGAAGAAGTTTACAATAGCGATACGTCAGTTACAATAATTGACACATTGCCCTTCTGTGCATTCTTCACTGCAGGAAAACTTATGTATAGGTGATGCTTGCATTTGATCAGTAAATATAAGATAGCTATGCAATAAATCACAAAGAACAATGAAGTGTGGTTTATTTCACATGTTCTATCATGACGTCATTTCTGGAGATTTGAATATGTGCTCGTAACTTGATGATGTTCTATCATGGCGTCATTTCTGGAGATTCGATTATATGCGCTTGCAACTTGATGACGTCATATATTGGACGACGTTATTTTTTACTAGTGTCCAGTAAGTTGTTGCCCATACGTGTAGCTGGGTAACACAGATAACGCGATTGCCGAACAATCACATCTTAAAGCAATGGAGATATGACAATCAGTATTGAGAGAAAAGGTACAGGTAATCAACGTAAGGATTGTGAAAATATGCGGGAAATACCAACTGTACATAAATTGACTTGTCCGACATTGTGAGTACATTTCTATTGAGGGAGTCATCCTTATTTAATTATGGGTAACTATTTTTAAAGCGTGCACATTTTATCAGTATCCTTTAAGAGACTGTACATAATGTTGATATCCTTTTTCTTATCTTATATAAGAAATAAATGACTCGTGGTCGTTGTTTATTGTTCAATAAAACACTGCAGGGAGAATAAACAACTGGATGGATGCAACCCTCATGGCTTACTCTCCCCGCAGTTTTTTATTGTATGATAAACAACGACCACGAGTCATTTATTTCTTAAATAAAGATGTGAAAAGATATTCTGGTATGCAAGCTGAAAAGGCTACACTGGATAATTACGCAGTGTGTGGTAATACTTTGGGGTTTTGAAAGTTTTCATGTGTTTTTGCATGCAAGCAACTCAACATTGTGTTATGCTGATCTATTTGGAGTATTTTAGGCAAATACACAGCTTATCTTGACCTCTGATATCTTCCGACCCATGAAGATCCAGGGTAGAATAGGTCTTCAGCAACCCATGCTTGCTGTAAAAGGCGACTATGCTGGTCATAAAAGGTGACTAACACGATCGGGTGGTCAGGCTCGATGACTTGGTTGATGCAGTCATCGATCCCAATTGCGTGGATCGATGTTCATGATATCAATCACTGAATTGTCTGGTCCAGACTGGATTATTTACAGACCTTCGTCATATAGCTGGAATATTGCTGAGTGCGGTGTGAAACAACCAACCAATCTGACATCTTCCATGATGTCATGCACATTGAACCTTAACAATTATCATTTCACCTTTACCAGTTTACATGAACACTTGGTATCATCAATATTTGATAGTGATTCATAAACACATGCGTAAATTACAGTCAGAAATTCGGAATCATACAATCGATTCTCCTTTTAATAGAAATTTCTTTTGATTATGGAAATGTTTTTGTTGCTTATATTTATACAGTGAAAGCCATGTTCAACGAATGAAGAACCCCAAAGTAAAACAGGAACACCATTACCATGACAACAAAACACAATAGCAACAACAGAATTATACTGGTAAAGTCGGTCAAAAACATTCCCTAGTAATATGAAAAACTGGATTGATCATTTAACAGGTCAATTTATTCACCCTTTCTTTTAGCATTTCTCTTTATCTTAAGGCACTCACCTGATTTTTGAAACACCATGATGGCAAATAATCCAAAATTTTGAAATTAAATAAAACTCTTGCTATATCTGGCAGTGAGGTGAAGGTATTCTCCACTATCAGGCCAGCAACACAGCTGCTGTAGGATGGCTTGGAAACAAGGTTTATTGCAACAGCTCCGCCTAAGGAACGTCCAAATATGAATATTTTCCGTTTATTTATATCGCTCCTGTTGAGGATGAAGTCGACTGCTGCCTCTGCATCATCATACATTCCTGAAGAGATAGTAAGACGATGATGACAAGAGAGTTAACAATGATGACAAGATAGTGAGACGATGATGACAAGAGAGTTAACAATGATGACAAGATAGTGAGACGATGATGACAAGAGAGTTAACAATGATGACAAGATAGTGAGATGATGATGACAAGAGAGTTAACAATGATGACAAGATAGTGAGACAATGATGCTGATAGAGTTACACAATGATGCCAAGAGAGTTACACAATGATGCTGATAGAGTTACACAATGATGCCAAGAGAGTTACACAATGATGCTGATAGAGTTACACAATGATGCCAAGAGAGTTACACAATGATGCTGATAGAGTTACACAATGATGCCAAGAGAGTTACACAATGATGCTGATAGAGTTACACAATGATGCCAAGAGAGTTACACAATGATGCTGATAGAGTTACACAATGATGCCAAGAGAGTTACACAATGATGCTGATAGAGTTACACAATGATGCCAAGAGAGTTACACAATGATGCTGATAGAGTTACACAATGATGCCAAGAGAGTTACACAATGATGCTGATAGAGTTACACAATGATGCCAAGAGAGTTACACAATGATGCCAAGAGAGTTACACAATGATGCCAAGAGAGTTACACAATGATGCCAAGAGAGTTACACAACGACAAGATAGTGAGACAATGATGCCAAGAGAGTTACACAATGATGCCAAGAGAGTTACACAATGATGCCAAGAGAGTTACACAACGACAAGATAGTGAGACAATGATGCCAAGAGAGTTACACAATGATGCCAAGAGAGTTACACAATGATGCCAAGAGAGTTACACAACGACAAGATAGTGAGACAATGATGCCAAGAGAGTTACACAATGATGCCAAGAGAGTTACACAATGATGCCAAGAGAGTTACACAATGACAAGATAGTGAGACAATGATGCCAAGAGAGTTACATAATGATGCCAAGAGAGTTACACAATGACAAGATAGTGAGACAATGATGCCAAGAGAGTTACACAATGATGACAAGATAGTGAGACAATAATGCAAGAGAGTTACACAATGAAGACGAGAGAGTTACACAATGATGCTGATAGAGTTACACAATGATGCCAAGAGAGTTACACAATGATGCTGATAGAGTTACACAATGATGCTGATAGAGTTACACAATGATGCCAAGAGAGTTACACAATGATGCTGATAGAGTTACACAATGATGCCAAGAGAGTTACACAATGATGCTGATAGAGTTACACAATGATGCCAAGAGAGTTACACAATGATGCCAAGAGAGTTACACAATGACAAGATAGTGAGACAATGATGCCAAGAGAGTTACACAATGATGCCAAGAGAGTTACACAATGATGCCAAGAGAGTTACACAATGATGCCAAGAGAGTTACACAATGATGCCAAGAGAGTTACACAATGATGCCAAGAGAGTTACACAACGACAAGATAGTGAGACAATGATGCCAAGAGAGTTACACAATGATGCCAAGAGAGTTACACAATGATGCCAAGAGAGTTACACAACGACAAGATAGTGAGACAATGATGCCAAGAGAGTTACACAATGATGCCAAGAGAGTTACACAATGATGCCAAGAGAGTTACACAATGACAAGATAGTGAGACAATGATGCCAAGAGAGTTACATAATGATGCCAAGAGAGTTACACAATGACAAGATAGTGAGACAATGATGCCAAGAGAGTTACACAATGATGACAAGATAGTGAGACAATAATGCAAGAGAGTTACACAATGAAGACGAGAGAGTTACACAATGATGCTGATAGAGTTACACAATGATGCCAAGAGAGTTACACAATGATGCTGATAGAGTTACACAATGATGCTGATAGAGTTACACAATGATGCCAAGAGAGTTACACAATGATGCTGATAGAGTTACACAATGATGCCAAGAGAGTTACACAATGATGCTGATAGAGTTACACAATGATGCCAAGAGAGTTACACAATGATGCCAAGAGAGTTACACAATGACAAGATAGTGAGACAATGATGCCAAGAGAGTTACACAATGATGCCAAGAGAGTTACACAATGATGCTGATAGAGTTACACAATGATGCCAAGAGAGTTACACAATGATGCCAAGAGAGTTACACAATGATGCTGATAGAGTTACACAATGATGCCAAGAGAGTTACACAATGACAAGATAGTGAGACAATGATGCCAAGAGAGTTACACAATGATGACAAGATAGTGAGACAATAATGCAAGAGAGTTACACAATGATGCCAAGAGAGTTACACAAAGAAGCTGAGATAGTGGAGGTTGACAACAAGAGTGTTACACAATGATGACGAGAGAGTTACACAATGATGCCAAGAGAGTTACACAAAGAGGCTGAGATAGTGGAGGTTGACAACAAGAGTGTTACACAATGATGACGAGAGAGTTACACAATGATGCCAAGAGAGTTACACAAAGAGGCTGAGATAGTGGAGGTTGACAACAAGAGTGTTACACAATGATGACGAGATAGTGAGATGATTTTATCAGAAATTTTGTTGTTTGTCTTTGGCATGTTGAGCTAAACAAGGGTCCCCTCATTTCCTTTCACAACAATAACTTATCTACGCTAAATCTACAGCCACATTTTACACTACACTGCATGAAGGACGATAGGCCTGTTCAGAAAGGAAGTTATGACAGCGATCAAATGTATGTTGGTGCTATGATCGGTTATCAGTACAATTGAGTCTGGTGTTGACCTGATGACAGGTTCTACCTACCATGTTCAGAGGGTGATCCATCACTTTTTCCATATCCCCGATACTCCACCATAACAACATTGCATTTACAAGCTGAATACAGACCAAGGATGTTCATCAACCTGAAACCCACAACAATAGATTATCTTCACTCAATCCATCACAACAGTAGATTATCTTCACTCATTCCATCACAATAGATTATCTTCACTCAATCCATCACAACAGTAGATTATCTTCACTCATTCCATCACAACAGTAGACTATCTTCACTCATTCCATCAAAATAGACTATCTTCACTCATTCAATGATTCTATGATTCATAATCAACCAAGTAACCAAGCCTGACCACTCAATGCATTAGTCTCCTTTCACTACAAGGACAGGTACTGTCACTTATTCTAACACAGAATCTCCACAGGGTTTGCCGACCAATGAATAAATACTGGGCACCATTCAACAAAGCGATCTTAGCACTAAGACGACCGTAAGTCCCACACTTTAACATAGACTTATGACAATCGCAGCGCTCTGATCGCTTTGTGGAACGGACCCCAGGACAGGCAAATGAGTGGGGTATGATGACAATCAGGCAAGTAAACATTTCTAAAACTCTAATTTAGCTTATGAATGGCAAGAATACTCTTCATCAATAAATGTGCTACAATCACCTATGTCCAATATTCCCTGCATTTCCATGGAAGAAAACAACAGTTGGCACATCAAGGTGGGATTGCTTCACCAGCACCACGTTGATCTGTGTGCCGTCTCGGGTCTTCACAAAATGATTCTCATATGGTAGATGGAGTATCCCAGGCAGCTCGACGTACATCCGGGAGTGGGGAGGCTGGTCCGGGTGGTACAGAAGCATGTCCTGAGCATTGTAGAACAACCCTGAAATCAACAGTAGGAAGAAATGTACAGTTCGACGTACATCCGGGAGTGGGGAGGCTGGTCCAGGTGGTACAGAAGCATGTCCTGAGCATTGTAGAACAACCCTGAAATCAACAGTAGGAAGAAATGTACAGCTCAACGTACATCCGGGAGTGGGGAGGCTGGTCCAGGTGGTACAGAAGCATGTCCTGAGCATTGTAGAACAACCCTGAAATCAACAGTAGGAAGAAATGTACAGTTCGACGTACATCCGGGAGTGGGGAGGCTGGTCCAGGTGGTACAGAAGCATGTCCTGAGCATTGTAGAACAACCCTGAAATCAACAGTAGGAAGAAATGTACAGTTCGACGTACATCCGGGAGTGGGGAGGCTGGTCCAGGTGGTACAGAAGCATGTCCTGAGCATTGTAGAACAACCCTGAAATAAACAGTAGGAAGAAATGTACAGCTCGACGTACATCCGGGAGTGGGGAGGCTGGTCCAGGTGGTACAGAAGCATGTCCTGAGCATTGTAGAACAACCCTGAAATCAACAGTAGGAAGAAATGTACAGCTCAACGTACATCCGGGAGTGGGGAGGCTGGTCCGGGTGGTACAGAAGCATGTCCTGAGCATTGTAGAACAACCCTGAAATCAACAGTAGGAAGAAATGTACAGTTCAACGTACATCCGGGAGTGGGGAGGCTGGTCCAGGTGGTACAGAAGCATGTCCTGAGCATTGTAGAACAACCCTGAAATCAACAGTAGGAAGAAACGTACAGCTCGACGTAAATCTAGGAGTGGGGAGGCTGGTCCGGATGGAACAGAAGCATGTCCTGAGCATTGTAGAACAACCGCTAAATCAACAGTAGGAAGAAATGTACAGCTCAACGTACATCCTTGAGTGGGGAGGCTGGTCCGGGTGGAACAGAAGCATTTCCTGAGCATTGTAGAACAACCGCTTAATCAACAGTAGGAAGAAATGTACAGCTCAACGTACATCCGGGAGTGGGGAGGCTGGTCCGGGTGGAACACAAGCATTTCCTGAGCATTATGTGACAATCTACATTTACAGACATGATTTAGGACAGACCTTTTTTACCGATTTTTTGCCTAAAATTGGGCAAAAAAAAATTAAAAAGAAAAAGTTAAATACAGCTTGTTTTGGGAAAAGATGTAACCATGGTAACTGGGATGGTGCACAGATACCAGATTTACAAGAATGGCAAGGCTAAAATGATCCACTGATGTTTCTCTCAACGGTACAACACATACCAGCATCCATGCTTATTTAAAATGCATCGTCAGTGATCATTTCATAACTTGTTTTAACTTTAGATGGTTGACAAACCAATCTCATCAAAATCAGATCTTAGTTCTCGCTACCGCTAAACAAAGATCTCAAGACATCTCATTATGGGTCACGTCAGAATGACCTTTCATCCAACCAATCAGAGCATCGCTTACCAGATCAGGAAAGCAATAGTCGGTATGCATTTTCTAATCATGCAGCCTCAAAATGGTTAACATGGGGAATTCCGAACAACAGATGGGATAAATAGCCCTTGGAAAGTACTGCCAAACAATCTTATCAATCTATTAGACATTCCAGAATGTTCTTCTGTTCAGTATTCAAAATTTGAATCAATATTTTTCAAAGGTAGTCTGAGTGGAAGTCGCCAGTTTGAAACTAGTGGCGTTAAGTTCAAGAAAGCTGCTTTCTAATTGGCTGATGTCAACTTCTTTTTAGTCATTTAAGTGGTTGGTCAAAGTTCAAGAAAGGCCATTTTGATGTGACCCATAATGGAATGTCCTCTGATCTTTGTTTAGCAGTAGCGAGCACTAAGATCTGATTTTAATGTACTAGACCGAACAAAATGTTACTAGACTCAGTCTTTGGACTAGTATCTAAAGTTTCAGAGTGAGTATATAAAGCTGCATGGTTAGAAACTGAAGTAACATTTAAGTGTTATCAAGTACATAACAGCAAATCATGAAATGGCTACCTGCTTGGACGAGGTGAAATGGGATTTAACATCTATTTTGAGTTATGTCACTTAAATAGCGATGTGCACCCATTCATGTCTATTTGTAGCGGCACTTATCCTGACTATCGGTAATACTGATTTTATACTGCTATCCCACTGAGTAACCATGCCACAGTTTAACACAGTTACCTTACTCAGACAAAGTATACTGACTCCATGTCGACCAATCATTAACATCTATTCGTATGACATGCCAGGGATGAAACCACTGACCTTCTGCTCTCCGGGCAGACACTCTATCCACTAGAGCATGGCCACAGAGGAAGTCTCCTGGATGGACTAGATGAGGTGTGAATACACAGGTTACATATTTGGACCTTTTCACTGACTGAGAAATGTAAAATATATAAAACAGAGCACTTCCAAATTTGTTTACTTAGCAAGAAAGGCATTGGCATGATCATGCTTATGATAACATTATCAATATTTATCATGTTTATTAATAAAGATTAACCATTACAAAAGCACTGCCTCTCAAAGTGAGGAGACTTTCTCATTTTGCTTTCATGTTAGGACGATAAGACACAGCGTTATTAGAGACCTGGCTGGTATAAGGGACCCAGAGTGCATTAGAAGAGTTCATATAGATGTGATCGATCGGCAGCCATTTTTTATGAATCGATATATAGGCATGTATTCATACGTTTTTTTTGTGAAAAGGCTTAATATATTTGAAAGTGGTTTCCGTAGCAAAATGGAAACCTCTTTTTAACCAGTCAGAAACTAGCATTCATCAATGTCATGGTAGAATCAGATACAATTGCTTGACTTTGTGTGAAGAGTGCTGTTTTAGGATTGGATGTGATACCCCAGTGTAATGCTCACCCATCACTGATCTTGCTTGACCCTATCATGTTACTATCTTTAGGGTTTCATATGATCATTATGATGCATGACATACGTTTGGGCCAAAAAATACTTCAATATGCATCATTGATGCAACTCATAAGAAAATGTATTATTATTGTTATTGATCAGGGATTTTGTGCAACATATTACAGTCAAGAGATCACAATGTCAAAGTGAATAATATGCAGACAATATGATATTCAAAACATCAGTCTGTATGGCAGTAGTTATACAAATTAGGATTCAGGACCGGTAACTCGGGTACTCAAGTCAGGTGGGTACTGTGTGACCCGGGTACCCACAGGACAACCTGGACCTGTGGTTAGTCACGTGATTATATTGACTAATGGCAAAAATTATATAGAACTCTATGGTTATACACTATAAGTGACAATTGTTCACATTTCTTTCTATGCACACGTTCCTTCTGACTTTATATGTTTGCATAAAGATAAAACTTCAGTCAACTTCAGTGTATGCATGACCAGATCGGTTTATACGTCTATCTAAATATACTTTGACAGGAGTACGGTGAAACGTTTCCCAATCAGACATTTTGTCCCCATCTCTTGAGACCTACAGCGGGTACCTGGGTAGGGTCGGGTAATAGGGCGTGGGTACCCGCGTAGTAAATTTGGACTCGTCCCAGCCCTAATACATATTGCATTTTTCATACACTCTGGTATCATATATTGTAAAGAGTGGATGTTGATCAGAAACGGGACATAGGGGCTAAGGATAGAATTGGGGGTAACATACCCTACCCCTAATACTACGGATCGAGCAAAATCAATGAAACAAGAACCACAACCGGCAGCTTAGTCGAAATTCGTGATGGGATCTGACAGTTAAGACATGACCGGCATATGTAGGTACCTACATGTGTGCCCTGTCATCTTCAGTCTGGCCAGTGTATTTTCTCACAATGACAAAGCATTGAATTGTAATAGCGCATCCTATAGCTGCTACCTAAGGGGCTACATGGACGAGAAGCATATTGTATCAATACTGTCAAACCGTAGTGTAAAATCCCTACAAAACACAGAAAAGAAACAATCCTGTTTACCTAAAAGTGCTATGACAAGAAGAAATGACGCCAGCATTCCCCCTTCAAACCAAAACACCAGAAGGATAATTAGAAGCGCTGTACTGCAGAGCTTCCAAAATCTGGTCATCACAGCCAAAACAAGTCGGCTTATCAACTCGATCATGGCAAACCCTGCTCCAACTCGTCTCTTCTTCGTCTCCGCCATTTCCTCGGTTTCTTTTTTATCTAACTCGGAGTCACTCATAGCCCAAATTAACCATTGGTAAATCAGTATAGTTATAGGATTTGTGCAACAGATATGGAGCAAAATGTATACATTCGGAAACAAACGCTAGGAGGCAGACATGTTGAATTGGAAATGTAAAGCTGTCTCTTTGAGTGCGTACGAAACTAGGCATATCGAAAGACATCAAGTTTCGTTTAATTGTTATGAAATTGAAAAAAGTTATTTAATTATTTATCAGTACGAACTCATAGCTTTTCATTTTCTGTTAAACGTGTTGGTTTCGTAAATAGGGCACGGCGGTGCACTTGCAATAATGTACTGTAAGTATACTATCCGGCCGGACGTTATAATATCAGACATACGCGGATCGAGAGAGGGGTGAAGGGATGCAGCATTTTCCATGCATGCCTTAGACTATGTCATAATCAATTTATGATTACGTTTCATCTTTAATTTCAAGATTCTTTTAAGGCATGTGATGTTGGATATAGTGTGCATGTCAGAAAACTCAACAGACTAACACCGAAACCTGCATTGTCACTCGAAAATGTTTGTATTTTTTCAAAAAGGTGTTTCATTTTTAATTTCAAGATTCTTTTAAGGCATGTGATGTTGGATATAGTGTGCATGTCAGAAAACTCAACAGACTAACACCGAAACCTGCATTGTCACTCGAAAATGTTTGTATTTTTTCAAAAAGGTGTTTCATTTTTAATTTCAAGATTCTTTTAAGGCATGTGATGTTGGATATAGTGTGCATGTCAGAAAACTCAACAGACTAACACCGAAACCTGCATTGTCACTCGAAAATGTTTGTATTTTTTCAAAAAGGTGTAAAAGATTTAGCCAACCCCGAGATAGTAAAGAGGAGCCAAGTGCTAACAGAGTATAGACGGGGGAACTAGAAATATGTCAAATTTATCATAGATTGTTTCTTTGTGTTTGGTAAACTGCAATATAAATTTGTCTATTTCCCACTGTCACATATTCTTTTTGTCCCCAAACGGATACATCGTAATGAAAAAAATGGCAGAAACATTTTGCACCGTCGTTATCTAACCCTTGTGCTCACCGTGTTTTCAGAACTTTGGAATAAAAACATTTTGGGGGGTGAAGAATCTGTTTCTGAAATAAAAGCGACAAAACCCTTTTCATATTCATAACAAATTTCTACCAAAAAACACAGAGTCGATTGTACGATTTCGACTCTATCATGGGTATGTGTTTATGGATCACTATCAAATAGTGTTCGCGAAAAGGGGAGCGTATCCTGCCGCATCTATGGCATCCGTCACAATATTATATAGGTGAGGTGAGGTGAAATGGGGTTTAAAGTCGCGTCCAAGATTATTGCACTTATATAGCGACGTGCATGTACGTATGTGTGTTTGTGTTGCTGCTTGTACTAGTCCGGACCGATGCCGATTTATAGTGCTAGCTCACTGAGATACCATGCCGCAGTTTAACATGAATACCCCACTCAGACACAGTATACTGACTCCGAGCCGACCAGTCCTTGTTTTAGCCACTTCATGCCTAGCGCCAGACAGGGTAACAACAAGTACCATCTTTTAACGTCTTTTTGGTATGACGCGGCCGGGGATCGAACCCCGGACCTTTCCCTCTCCGGGCGGACGCTCTACCACTAGACCACGGAGGCTGTCCAATATTATATAGACCAGACACATGTAGTACATGATACAGACAGTAATGTTGATGCACATGCGACAGGCTGCCCAGAATAGATCTCTATGTGAAGTAGAAACTGAGAAATTTTCAACTGTCCAACTTCATATAAATTTTTATCAATAATCTGATGCAGGTGCATGTTATATGGTGCAGGTGCGAAATCACATAGTTGGAAAACCTGACTCATGTCATACCTCTATAAAAGGTAAGATATGACAGCTTGCACTTAGGCTAGGTTAGACTTTTAAGTCGATTAAGTCTTTGATAGGCATTTGGAAGAACATGAATACAGAACACTTTTATGGATAACTTCTTTTTATTCTTTGTAACGACGTTTTAGGGATACTTCTTGCCCCTCGAATACTGAGTTTGTTAGTTACAATTTCGGCTGACCTGTCCCTCTTTGGTACTCATATGTGTGTGTGAGTAGGGTACACATATCTATGGTGAGTTTTAGTTTTGATAAACTTTCTCTTTTGTTTTGATAGGATTTCTATTTTCGTATTGATATGAATTCATATTATATTTTTTTGAAATTTATAGATTTTCTTTGGCAGCTCTGTTTATATACGTTATACTGACCGTCTCTCAGAAATAGAGTTACTTTGCCCTTCGCTATTGCATCTTTTGGCTTCAGGAGATCTACGACAGATAGCGGATCTAACTGCAATTCTTGTTTTAACCGAGCCCGGGCTGGGGCATGATCTTGACATTCCAGTAACAAGTAGTATTCACGTTGATTGCTAGATGGGTATACCTTGTCACAGTGCTTCTTGTGACCGAGTGTGAGGTGTGAGATGACTATTTCATCATTTCATTTCATTTGAGTGTGAGTATGGCTTTTAGTACATTGCAGTTTGAATTCTGAATAACCATCTGCCGATCTAACTTCCGTTCCATTGGGCTTGCAATTTTGGGGCTATGGAGGCGATACAACCGATGGCAGCCATTGTGGGATGATGAAATCAAATCATTTGCTCTCTGCTTGAAGTTTTGGACAACCGCCAAAAAGTGCCCACGTCAGATATTCTGTCTTGTCAGCTAATAACAGAGTTGAGAATTTTACAATCTCGGTTCGAACGAGCAAAACATGCGCATGTGTATTTTGTTCGGTTTTCATTTGTTCATACGGATGTTTACTAATTTCCCAAACTGTGACTGTCAATGGGCCGCGTGGACTGAATAAAGAACAGTGTTAGTTGACATGGGACCGGTGAAGATCCGGGATAGAATAGGTCTTCAGCAACCTATGCTTGTCGTAAGAGGCGACTAACGGGATCGGGTGGTCAGACTCGCTGACTTGGTTGATGCATGTCATCGTGTTCCAATTGCGTAGATCGATGCTCATGATGTAAACCACTGGATTGTCTGGTCCAGACTCAATTATTTACAGACCGCCGTCATATCGCTGGAATATTGCTGAGTGCGACGTTAAACAGCAAACAAACAAACAAACAAATCGTTTTCGGGGAATTGATAAAAGTAGTTTTCTCTGAGTTTAAAGGTTGTTGTGTGTTTTCTTATTTCAAAAGCGATATAAATGTTTACTTGAATTATACATGTTTCAATTTAAAACATACTTACATTGCTGTCCCTTGAAGCAGCGTTTAATGGGTTAATTCTAAAGACGTTTTATTTGCATAGATCACAAATAATTATGTATTAGCAGCAAACTTAACTTCAACCGTTACTTTGCAAAATACCTCAATTTGAATGGTCGGTCAGCGGTTTCAAATCACAAAATATATCTCTATTTGAATAAAAGCGTCAAAACCATTTCCATAATGACAAGAAACCTCTTCTACAGAGTCTATTGTACGATTTTATATATATCACAATCACGTGTTTATGAATCACTGTGAAATAGTGATGATACCAGGTGTCCGCGAAAGGTAAACGTATCCTGATCAATCGGTGGCACCCGTCACAATACGTGCAGAGGCAAGTCAATTGTTCACCTGAAAATATGGCGGATATACCGCTTAAACATTCCACAGAAGCGCATATTGTGTTTTTGCTGTGTGCTGCGCTAACGTACTAGCCTAACTGTTATTCACTGACAGGTTGCCTCGCTGTGTTATTCACTTACTCACTGATTGTGGATTTTTACTCGCTGACTACGTTATTCACTTAATTACTCACTTGTGTTACTCACTCATTGCTTCACTTATTTTGTTACTCATCTACTCCTTGACTACGTTATTCTTGTACTCACTGAGTATGTTAATCACGTACTAACTGCCGTACTGACTGTGTTATTCACTTACTGCCTCACTGAATGTGGTATTCACTGCCTCACGGACTGTGTTATTCAAGTACACATTGCCTTACTGAATGTAATATTCATTTACTGCCTCACTAAATGTGCTATTCATTTACTGCCTCACTGAATGTATTATTCATTTACTGCCTCACTAAATGTGCTATTCATTTACTGCCTCACTAAATGTGCTATTCATTTACTGCCTCACTGAATGTGCTATTAACTTACACTCTGCCTTACTTAATGTGTTATTCACTTACACTCTGTTGCCTGTGTTATTCACTGCCTCATTGAATGTGTTTTTCACTTACTGCCTCACTGAATGTGTTTTTCACTTACACACTGCCTCAATGAATGTGCCATTTACTTACTGCCTTACTGAATGTGTTATTAACTTACTGCCTTACTGAATGTGTTATTCTCTTACTGCCTTACTGAATGTGTTATTCACTTACTGCCTTACTGAATGTGTTATTCACTTACTGCCTTACTGAATGTGCTATTCACTTACTGCCTCACTGAATGTGTTATTCACCTACACACTGCCTCATTGAATGTGTTATTAACTTACTGCCTCACTAAATGTGTTATTTACACACTGCCTCACTGAATGTGTTATTTACACACTGCCTCACTGAATGTGTTATTCACTTACTGCCTCACTAAATGTGTAATTTACACACTGCCTCACTGAATGTGTTATTTACACACTGTCTCACTGAATGTGTTATTTACACACTGCCTCACTGAATGTGTTATTCACTTACTGCCTCACTGAATGTGTTATTTACACACTGCCTCACTGAATGTGTTATTCACTTACTGCCTAACTAAATGTGCTACTCACTTACTGCCTTACTGAATGTGTTATTCACTTACTGCCTTACTGAATGTGCTATTCACTTACTGCCTTACTGAATGTGTTATTCACTTACTGCCTTACTGAATGTGTTATTCACTTACTGCCTCACTGAATGTGTTATTCATTTACTGCCTCACTGAATGTGTTTTTTACACACTGCCTCACTGAATGTGTTATTTACACACTGCCTCACTGAATGTGTTATTTACACACTGCCTCACTGAATGTGTTATTCACTTACTGCCTCACTGAATGTGTTATTTACACACTGCCTCACTGAATGTGTTATTCACTTACTGCCTCACTGAATGTGCTACTCACCTACTGCCTTACTGAATGTGTTATTCACTTACTGCCTTACTGAATGTGTTATTCACTTACTGCCTTACTGAATGTGCTATTCACTTACTGCCTCACTGAATGTGTTATTCACCTACACACTGCCTCATTGAATGTGTTATTAACTTACTGCCTCACTAAATGTGTTATTTACACACTGCCTCACTGAATGTGTTATTTACACACTGCCTCACTGAATGTGTTATTCACTTACTGCCTCACTAAATGTGTTATTTACACACTGCCTCACTGAATGTGTTATTTACACACTGCCTCACTGAATGTGTTATTCACTTACTGCCTTACTGAATGTGTTATTTACACACTGCCTCACTGAATGTGTTATTCACTTACTGCCTCACTGAATGTGCTACTCACTTACTGCCTTACTGAATGTGTTATTCACTTACTGCCTCACTGAATGTGTTATTCATTTACTGCCTCACTGAATGTGTTGTTCATTTACTGCCTCACTGAATGTGTTATTTACTAACTGCCTCAATGAATGTGCTATTCACTTACTGCCTTACTGAATGTGTTATTTACTTACTGCCTCACTGAATGTGTTATTTACTTACTGCCTCACTAAATGTGTTATTTACACACTGCCTCACTGAATGTGTTATTTACACACTGCCTCACTGAATGTGTTATTCACTTACTGCCTCACTAAATGTGTTATTTACTTACTGCCTCACTGAATGTGTTATTCACTTACTGCCTCACTGAATGTGTTTTTTACTTACACACTGCCTCAATGAATGTGCCATTTACTTACTGCCTTACTGAATGTGCTATTCACTTACTGCCTTGCTGAATGTGTTATTCTCTTACTGCCTTACTGAATGTGTTATTCACTTACTGCCTTACTGAATGTGTTATTCACTTACTGCCTTACTGAATGTGTTATTCACTTACTGCCTCACTGAATGTGTTATTCACCTACACACTGCCTCATTGAATGTATTATTCACTTACTGCCTCACTGAATGTGTTATTAACGTACTGCCTCACTAAATGTGTTATTTACACACTGCCTCACTGAATGTGTTATTTACACACTGCCTCAGTGAACATGTTATTCACTTACTCATTGCCTCAGTGAACGTGTTATTCACTTACATACTGCCTTACTGAATGTGTTATTCACTTACATACTGCCTTACTGAACGTGTTATTCACTTACTCATTGCCTCACTGAATGTGTTATTCACTTACACACTGCCTTACTGAATGTGTTATTCACTTACTCATCGCCTCAGTGAACGTGTTATTCACTTACATACTGCCTCACTGAATGTGTTTTTCACTTACACATTGCCTCAGTGAACGTGTTATTCACTTACTCATTGCCTTACTCACTGTGTTATTTACGAATTGCCTCAGTGTTTGTGTTTTTCACTGACCAACTCACTAACCACGTAAGTAGAGTTGAGTAATCGGTGTCAGTGTTGCGGGACTCTCAAAGAGTCGGGGTTTGTGCCACAACTGACCATAAATCCCCCTACAGTTGCAAACCAAACTTTACCGAAGACAACCTCAAACCCTTGTATTTCATGAGGATATTCAAGGCGGAAAAAATTACCCAGTGTAAACATAGCAATCTAGGTCATGAGTTTGGGAAATTTGTTACGATGAAGTAAATAGTAAGTAAAAGGCAAAAATAATTGTATCAATATCAGTAACTGATGATATCTTCTCTATGCATTCATTATGCAACTATATTCGGACTCTTTTCTTTTCAGAAATACTTTCGTGTTCTTCGGCGCTGCGATCCGCTTCGCAGAGTTACGCCCCTACGTGAGAGAGTGAGTGAGTATGGGTTTACGCCGCTTTTAGCAATATTCCAGCATTTATCACGGCGGGGGACACCAGAAATGGGCTTAACACATTGTACCCATGTGGGGAATCGAACCCGGGTTTTCGGCGTGACGAACGAACGCTTTAACCACAAGGCTTTCCCCACCGTCACACATCTCTAATTAAAAACACAAACAGCAGAATTGTACCTTCAGTGCTTTATAGGATCATGACGAATTTTGGTTTGAAAAAGCCTTATAGTTTGAGTGATTCTCACCCGTTCATATGCACGTTTTACCCTTTAAACCTCATGGCGAATTCATGATGATCAACATATTAGAGTGATTTATCCGGATTTAGCCATGTTGTGGTTGATATATGAACTTTATGATCTCTCGGCAGTTGACGTTAACGTTGAAGTCAGTGATGCACCACCACCGTTATCTACAGCCGATATAATGCTGGACTTGTCAGCGTTCAAGTTGTTCACAGTTGTAATTTCTGTATGGTTTAAGCTATCTTTTTGTGCTTTGGCCTAGAATGATGGCAATCTGACGTGAAGATGTGTACTTCAACCCTATCTATCTATCTATCTATCTATCTATCTTTCTATTGAGAGAGAGAGAGAGAGAGAGAGAGAGAGAGAGAGAGAGAGAGAGAGGGAGTGAGAGAGAGAGAAAAAAACCTACTGAAACGTCGCCTCAATTCTGATAAAGAAGTCATTTTTTTAGATACTGTTTATTCCATTTCCAAGTAAATCTTTATCAAGTGAGCAAAAAAATAAATTAAAATTAAAAGAATCAAGGTTGGAGACATAATAAAAATAAACTTGTGATGGAAGGTCCACATGTTTGAAGTAGACATTAATTAAACTTAATATGGATAAAATATTCCATGAACATTTCACTGGGCCAAAATCGAACAGTATATTTTGTGAATAAATATAAAATAAAGAAGTTGTTTATCTATAAGAACTTCTTCTTGTTCACTGATACATTGATATACAGTCATTTCGAATGAATGAGTTGTGGTGACTTTTTCAGTCTTATATGACAATATATTTTGAGAAAGCCTCAGTTGTGATAGAAAATGCAACGGTAAAGTCGAGCAACTGAACACATTATCTCAACCCATTTAGGTACAAATTGTGTTTCACAACTACTATTATACACTAAATGTTCCTTCGTTTGGTATTTCTTGTCCCCGTTAGAAAGGTGGTGGCAGCAAAATGAAGTTGCCACGCGGTGATGGGATCAGGGCATATATATCACAGATGATGCAAGATGTGTGATTGTCTCCATCCAGATCGCCGGGACTGACGTATTCCAAGCTTCATCGGCAACAAACGTACATCACCCTAGTTCTGTCGTCAGAAGTGTCCACATGGCACGTCGGCGTTCCGCTGTCATCTATGTAAGAACAGAATTCGTACATGCAAGTATCGACCCTGAAACTGTTGAATCATTTCATAGTACCAGATAAAAAGCATCACGGCTTGCTTCACCATCCATTCTGTTCTCATTGTGTCCACAGACAAAAACATGTATATTGCTGGTGACTCCAAGCTAGTAGCAGGGGCATACCAGTTGCTATGAAGAACAATTACATAAAATATTTCCATAAAACATAAGAATACTCAGAATATGTAATACGGTTTTTGATACAAATCTAAAGAAATGTTAAATGTGACTTGCAATGGAAACGTGTATCTTGGCATTTTATATGCCCCACCAGAAGGACCACCTTTGTAATCAGATGAAACATGTCCCCGGTGACACCAGGGGATTTCATGTCAACTCTCAGCAGACAGTAACAATAGTATACATTTAATTGGGGATCTCAAAGCAAGAACACGATTTTTACCAAACTTTATAGAAACAAACTCAAGGTTTATCGATCAAGGTATCATTCCCATTGACCTGTTGGATTATATGAATGATGTTGACAAAATACGCAGCATAGATATTCCACTTGAAAGGTCGGGATATGAGCAAGCCAACTTCTCACGATCGGTTGGTGAAACAACACACAAAGGTGTAAGCGTGGTGGACTGTGCTTTAGCAGGAACTAGTTTCGTCCTTCAACAGCAGATTTTGAAATCCACGATTTAGAGCCTTTGAAGGCATCCATTATCCTGTTGCTGTAATATTGTTAACTTTTTGATAAATCCCAAGGGGCAATCGCAAGGGCCAAGCTCATTTGAGGATACAAGCTCAGGACTTAGGACGAGGAATAGGACGCTTGCCACTGAATACGTCCGCGCTATGTCCATTAGTAAAGATGCTATACAATAAATTGAATCAGACCTGCAACATTTTAATTACTGTGACCAGTTTTATGTTACCAGAAAGGTAAATGACAAAGTAAGTAATGTGCTTCTTGCATCCGCGGGTAACGTATTTTGATAGGTTACTAAATGTAACACAGCCTGCGATGTGAAGGCGTATGAAGTCCTGGTTTGGTAAACAATGTAATATCTCTTGTAGAAGGTACTTTAAAGAAAATGAATTTTCAAATATCAGCAAACTTGCCAGAATAAATAACGCATAATGAATGTTAGTAAATGCTTTAAACATTTTCGTGTAAAATACTCAAAATACTGGTTTGTCCATATCCGTGCTCGTGGGTTTCACCGAAGTGGTAAACGTCTGAGACCTGTATCACTTCGGATTTTCCTCCTTCATTAAGCTGACACGCCGTGATATAACTGTAATACTGTTAAAAGCGGCGTTAAACCAAACTCACTCACTCACTCCTGCCCATCTGTTCCCACACTTCCCAAATTGGAACTCTCTAGACTTATGATCCATCCGTTCTCTCTGTGCCACATATACATACAACCCTGGTTATCAATGTAAAGGTTCTGCCTGCACTATACTCACTACTTTCATCACGTGAATGATCCCACTTGATGCTACCTTGTCACTGACCTTCAATATAGGAGCCTCGCTGTTTGTTCCATGCATTGTATCCTGCACAGCCAGTGAGTGTGGAGCCTGATGGACAAGTTGTCTTCATGAGGTTCCCGACAGGTCGAGGACTGAGTGTGTGCACGCTGCAGGAGAGACCCGGAGCCTGGCAGCAGGTGGCGTAGGAATACACCCCTACAACACGAACACGTTGGGGAACATTGTGGTAGAAATCCTTTGTTGACATGTTACCTATCGCCCCTGTTAATCGTTAATTAACACAGCACGATGAACACTTTTCAACTTCCACAACGCAAACACCAGAGTGTGCTGTACATTAACGTCTGCAGTCCTACATCACCGACAGTGTACAAGCTAAGTTATCATTGCGCTACAGTGTGTATGTTACCTGTGACAGAAAACGACCCTGTCGTTGCTCGGCAGAAGCTGTTGTCCATGTTAGTTCCGTCCAGACGGCCGTTCACTTGGTACGAGCTGCAGCCTTAGAAAGGAAGACACGAGACCAAGTCAAATAGTATATCGCCTCCAGATTTGCTGGTCAATGTAAATGCACGATTCACACCAAGACATTCACCTGACAATAAAGACATCTAACATGTCAGATGCTATCATTTTACACAGCTTACCTAATACCTGGAAGGATTGAAAGCATGTGGTTGAAACTGAATCCCCGTCCTTGTTTCCTGAAGGCCCATCTTTGAGGTACTCGCACTGGAGCCCGTCCTTCTTGCAGCATCTTGCCGAGGCATGGAGCGGAGAGGCTTTAGCTGCCCAGGAACAGACACAGACATTATCACACTTGTCATGACAGATGAGCTCCGGGGAGACGAGTGAACCACACGAAACAGTTAATACAGGACACATGTTGTAAAAAGGCGACAATGACGATAAGGATCATCGCACATTTGGTATTGATTCCATTTTATTAGAAGGTTTAATGAACGTACTTCCCCGTGAAGATCCGGGTTAGAACTGGTCTTCAGCATCCCATGCTTGTGGTAAGAACGGGATCAGGTGGTCAGGCTGACTGATTTGGTTGATGCATATCATCGTATCCTAGTTGCGTAGATAGACGCTCTTAATGTCAATCACTGGATTGTATTTATAGACCACAGTCATATAGATGGACTATAGAAGATGGAAGCGTTAATCAACAAACAAAGAAACAAATGAACTTACTTGTTTGTGTTGAGTCGATTTGGCAGAAAAGCTTCTTGTCAATCAATACAACTTTCACGCCATTGTTTTTCCCACTTGTTGACTGTAATCAATCAGAATAATTTGAAAAAGAATTGATATTGTCACTGCTTTATTCAGTTCTCCTTTGTATTCGCTCAACTTTGTAACTATTAGGGCTGTTGTGAATTTATGTTTTTGTCTGATTTAATGACAGAACAAATTGACCACAAAGGCGTCTTACGGGCGGAAACCCGCGAAGCCAATACAGCACGGGGTACGGGTGGCCCAGTCGTCGATCTCGCCTCGATTCGCTGTGTATCCCTTGAGCACGCCAGAAACCTATGATATTGAGTTCGAATCCGGGGTAGAATAGGTCTTCACCAACCCCTGCTTGACGTAAAAGGCGACTATGCTTATCGCCAAAGGCGACTAACGGGATTGGATTGTCAGACTCACTGACTTGGTTGATGCATGTCATTGTATCCCAATTGCGTGGATCGATGCTCATGATTTAAATCGCTGGATTGTCTGGTCCAGACTCGATTATTTACAGACCGACGTCATATAACTGATATATTGTTGAGTGCGGCGTTAAACAACAAACAAATACATAACGCGATCCCCTACAACAACAACAGGGATTGCGACGGACATTTAACCTGCCTCTGCGTACAATCTCAATGAGGCAGGTCACAGCAATTTCCTCAGCTGTGACGTCAGTGGTGTAAGCACGCAGATATTGGGCAACGCGACGTCGCAATGAACGTTTGTCGCCGCAAATCTGCACTCTCAATTCGTCCATGGGCAGGAGTTTGTTCAATTGTTTGTTTGTTCGATGTTAACGCCGCTGCTATATTCCAGCAGTCGCCTGTCTGTAAATAATGGAGTTAATCAAACAAGACAATTCAGCCTTCTACCGAGTGAGTGAGTTAAAGTATGTTCTCAGCCTCACCAGCGTTCCACCAATCGTGACAGTACATTGATATGTCCAGTCGACATCATAGCGATGAGCTCGACAGTAGAAGAAAAGACTGAGTGTTTTACCGCAGTTTTAGCAGAGCAGCCTGTCAGCATCTCATCGTCCTCACAGGACACCGACACTTCACTGCCTGCCGAGGACACCCTGTCTGTACAAGTCAACGTCGCCGGCCCTGCAGACAGCGTCTTCGTCGCGATCCAGTTGGGGATGACTGCAGATGTGTTCATTAACCAAAGAAACAGGTCAACAAGATCATGTGAAGCAAATGTGTCACTTAAAATCAGACATGGTGTTAAACATGCATAGTGACATAGGTATGTTTCATTCACAAAAGGGGGCACGGGTGGTCCAGTCGTCTAAGGCGCCGCGATTCGCTGTGCAGAGTTGCGTCCTTTGGCACACTAGAAACCTATGATTGTGGGTTCGAATCCCGGTTGTTTCTAGGTTTGTCAGCACCATACCCGTGCTCGTGGTTTTCACCAAAGTTGTAAACATCTGAGACCTGCATGACTTCGGGCGTTCCTCCCACATTAAGCAGACACGACGTGATATAACTGGAATACTGTTAAAAGCGGCGTTAAACACAACTCACTCACTCACTCTCTCATTCACACCATCAGGACCAAGATGTATGCTGTAAGGCCTACAATATTGCAGCATTTGTTCACGATATGCACGAAGAAGATTGATGTACCTTGGCAGTCCAGAGACGTCGATGACCATTGTCCATTCTCCAGACAGATGATTGTGTCGTTCCCGCCATGATTTCTGAACCCTGCATCACACGTGAACGTCACCGACGTGTTGAACGTGGTTGCTACAACGACGCTAGGATCTGCATTGCTCCTATCGACGGGGGTCTTGCAATCCACGACTACGAAGATAATTCAGTGAGGTTTGATATAATTGAAATTACTATTGTTCTTCAACAAAAACAGAAACAGAAACCTTTAATCGAATACCAAATACCAGAGAAGGAAAGAGTTCGTTCTGTTAAAGCTCTTGTTTATCGGGATTTGTCATCACAAATTCTATTGCATGTCCAAACATGTCTCCAGGACCAAACTCACTGGATCCACAACTGAAGTTTCAGAGTATTATGTTAAAGTAATTTGGCGTGCCACAAATTAAACATCATGATTAAAACATAAAATCTTTTCCAGTGCAAGTATGGGCCTTTGTGCCTTTGTCTGGGGCTCTGTATTTTTTTTGGAAACGTCAACCTTATAGATGCCTACATCACCAATACTCACGCTGACAGACTTGGGTTGGAGTCGACCAGATGGCGGTGTCCTGGCAGACGCTGTCACCAGTCCCCGTTGTCGAGGTGTAGCCGACATTGCAGCTGTACATGACGTTGCTGTTGAAGTCGGTGCTTGTCACTTGACCCACAGACTGATTATGGAGAGCTGGTGGCATTCCACAGTCAACAGCTAGACGCGTTTGATGGCAGTATGCAAAGCAAATATGTTAATTAACGATTTTGTTTTAGAAAAAGACGGGATTCCTTCAAATATATCGGCATTAAGGGAAGCTTGCTGACGGACAAGATCTAAATTTAGTTCAAATTCAGATACGATATTTATTGATATAATGTTTTATTATACACCTGTGGATAAGAAATCCATTCGAGATAACTTGTATCAAACATATGTGTAAGATCGAATTCCAGGTCCGTGATTGGCTCTTTGTTGTTCCATGGTGATGAAGGTCATATTTTGACGGACAACTTTCCAAATTGTAATTCACTCGTGCTACCGTCGATTTCACCAATGTCTGTGTCGAAACGTTATAGTTTTAGAGTGTTGATAATTTCCCTTGGTCTTTTCTAGTTTGCATTATCATCATCGCCTTGATTATCTATAGATATGGCGGAAACTTTTATTGTGGAGGGACACACTAGGTATGGGTAGTGAGCAGTAGGCACACGCGACCATTGTGTTATGTATTTATGCGCCACTGTCACCTTGAGTGTAGAGAAAATATGAATCAACTCGTTGTAAGATAAATGGTATTTGACAACCACGAGTGTAGTAATCTCTACATATCATTGCAGGCAGAGAAATATGTCGCCATTGTATTTTATGTGTCTAAAACCTCCGCCTTTCTGTAACATGAGACATTTTCATGTATTGAAACAAAAAATGTGCACATACTGGGAACGTACTTTATGTGTAATGTTTTTTTTCTAGTTACCTCTACAGGATTCATAAGTCATAAGTCTCATCGATTCTCACTCATTCATTTTATAATAGCAAGATTTGCAAGCATTTGCACATGGAATTTGTCACGAATATCAAGTTTAATTGGTGTATTGTAATACCAACAAAAAATTAATCAAAGTCCAGTGGACGATGTGCATATAGACATAGAGTATAAAATTTAATAAATTATGAAAAATACCCAACGAGAATTAAAGATATTTTTAATCAGTTCGGCTGTCGCAGAATGTTATAAGAAGCAGATATCCCAGTCACCACATAATGATACAACAGGGGACTGCGTGTTTCCAGGGTAACCCACTGGGATGATATGTGTTTTATTCTTCTTGTTTTTTGTGAAACATTAACGGCCTTGACATGCGACAATGTGTAGTTTACACCTACCTAAAGGTAATGCAACATTAACCCTGAGCATATAACTTCATGTACAGACACAATATATTGTGCCTATTGCTATTTGAGGCAGTGTTGTGAACTGGCACGCCTTACTTTCAAAATGCACGATGCAGAGTACCACAAAGGCTAAAAAGTACAAAAGATAGAAACTTTATCATAGTTTCAAATCACTCTAGTTTTAAAAACCTCGCAAGATAGCTGCATGTCGTACAATAAATTGAAAAGGTCAAAATCTAAACGAGATCAACAATTAAAATGACAAGTCTTTGGAAGGCATTTAGAAGTGATACATATAAGGACGAGAATTTATGGATGTCACCTTCAATATTATGAAGAACACACCGTTTCGGAGTGTATGCTTACTCGTTTATCAGGTGAATGAATGATATGAAGCAGAGAGCATATATATATATGAACATGTAAGAACACCAAAAATAATACGATAACAAAGGTGGAAACTCAACAAGGGAAGCCAACACATAATTGTCGCCGAGAGGTGATAAGGAACAGAACATGGAAGCCAACACTTTACAGTAATTAACGCTGAGATTTATGGGCAACTTGAAACAAACCAGGACATGTACTCCGAAACGTTGTGTTCATCATTATAAAGAAGTTGACATCCGTAAATTCTCTCCTTATTTAAAATGAGAGTCATATAACATCCGATATTGGCATGATAGTTGCCCGAATTGAGGTAGGGTAGCAAAACAAGCTTTCAAGGTAATGGACAAATTAAAAGGCACACACATCAAAACTCCCTCAAGTTCAATGACACCTGACATTAATAGCGTCTATTACAAACCCCCTGCTTTAAAACACGCAAAAACTCAGCCCCACAGGAAAAGTCAGTCGTCTGATGACGTCAAGTTCCGTACTATTCGGGCTGTATGGGGTCTGGCCTTGTCATGTTGATAAAGGACACCACGTGGCAGCTGTTGTCGAAATGCTTAGACAATCGGACGAAAAATGTCATCCATGTCACGCTGGGCTGTCAATTTTGGCCAACGTTTTGGCCAAATGGCCTTGTTTTGACTTTGCCGATCCGAGCAGAAGTCCTTTTCATATGCATATTGAAACAGATCAGCAATCGGAGGAGTACAATTGGTGCACATTGGTGTACGTGCCGCTTGCCTAAATGTCTTACCAATGCCGTATCAATGAGAAAGTCCAGCATGTCACATATTATTTTCTCAGTAAACATCAGATGGCATTTGCTTTCATTTTTGACAAATTGACCTGAACCTCTGAAGATAGATGTCACTGTATCTGTAAATAAAGGGACATAACCCTTTCCATATCCAACAGACATCTCTAGCAGAGTCGATTGTACAATACCGTCTATATCATGAGCATGTTTTTATGACTCACTATCAAATAGTACATGATACCAGGTGTTCGCGAAAAGGTGAGCGTATCCTGTTCCACTGATGGCACCCGGTAGCATTATTTCTAGACAAGTTAGCTATATAAATGATTTCATCGTATAGAAACATGTTGTGCTATATGCAATATCAGTATTTGATTTTTGTTATCGAAAACATGTTTATATTCCACTAATCTGAATAAAATTGATCCTGGCTCCATATGTTTGTATCTACATTAAATAAAATAAACATCTTTTCAATTCGCAATTAAACCTTTCTTTTTAAACCTTAATTAACGTTTATCGGAATAGTTTGAGACAAATTCCATATGCTTCAGTCGGATAACGGCCCACATTGGTTGTATACTGTATACAGCTGGTTGTCATGCTTAACTATGGCATACAATGAAAGTATTGATATTCCTTACTCAGTTTACAGTGTTGGCATCATGAATGATTTATAGTTCGAAGTCGTCATTTTGTCTCAAAGCACGCTGCACCTTCGCTTCCAGTCTTTTACAGACGCGGTATTGAAAACAAACGAACTTTTATATGAAATTATTGGCGATTCTCATAAATAAATACACTTTGATTCTTCTTGGATATATTCGAAGGAAAGTATAATCTCTTAAAGTTCACTGCAACAAACAATGGGGGTGAGGGGACCGGGGGCCAATCGGCCCTCCTGACCCCCTGCAACAACGAACCTACTCCAATGCAACAACGTACAACGAATTTGTTTTCTGTTATGTAGTGATGTTTATGTATCTAGTTTGTTTTATTTACTTGTTACATGTGGTATTTTCAATCTTAGTGTTACTAAAAACTTACAAAACTGAAGACTTTTTATATTTACATGGACACTGCAGTGGTGTTTACTTACACTGTAGTGATGTTTACCTGTACACTGTAGTGATGTTTACCTGTAAACTATAGTGATCTTTACTGTACACTATAAAGATGTTTACCTGTACACTGTAGTGATGTTTACCTGTACACTGTAGTGATCTTTCCTGTACACTTTATAGATGTTTACCTGTACACTGTAGTGATGTTTACCTGTACACTGTAGTGATGTTTACCTGTACACTGTAGTGGTGTTTGCCTGTACACTGTAGTGGTGTTTATCTGTACACTGTAGTGGTGTTTACCTGTACACTGTAGTGGTGTTTGCCTGTACACTGTAGTGGTGTTTATCTGTACACTGTAGTGGTGTTTACCTGTACACTGTAGTGGTGTTTGCCTGTACACTGTAGTGGTGTTTACCTGTACACTGTAGTGATCTTTACTGTACACTATAAAGATGTTTACCTGTACATTGTAGTGATGTTTACCTGTACACTGTAGTGGTGTTTGCCTGTACACTGTAGTGGTGTTTATCTGTACACTGTAGTGGTGTTTACCTGTACACTGTAGTGGTGTTTGCCTGTACACTGTAGTGGTGTTTACCTGTACACTGTAGTGATCTTTACTGTACACTATATAGATGTTTACCTGTACATTGTAGTGATGTTTACCTGTACACTGTAGTGATCTTTCCTGTACACTTTATAGATGTTTACCTGTACACTGTAGTGATGTTTACCTGTACACTGTAGTGATGTTTACCTGTACACTGTAGTGGTGTTTGCCTGTACACTGTAGTGGTGTTTACCTGTACACTGTAGTGGTGTTTGCCTGTACACTGTAGTGGTGTTTACCTGTACATTGTAGTGATCTTTACTGTACACTTTATAGATGTTTACCTGTACACTGTAGTGATGTTTACCTGTACACTGTAGTGATGTTTACCTGTACACTGTAGTGGTGTTTATCTGTACACTGTAGTGGTGTTTACCTGTACACTGTAGTGGTGTTTGCCTGTACACTGTAGTGGTGTTTACCTGTACATTGTAGTGATCTTTACTGTACACTATATAGATGTTTACCTGTACATTGTAGTGATGTTTACCTGTACACTGTAGTGGTGTTTGCCTGTACACTGTAGTGGTGTTTACCTGTACACTGTAGTGGTGTTTACCTGTACACTGTAGTGGTGTTTACCTGCACACTTTAGTGTTGGAGATGACCACTGTCCAGTGTTCTGACACACAACGACCCCGCTGCCCCCGGCTGTGTTGTAGCCCGTCATGCACGTGTACACAGACGCTGCTCCCAAGGAGGCTACGCTCGTGTCTGACACTGTCAAAGTACGTCGTGGTGGAGGTCGACCGCAATCTGGTCCTGGGAATGTTGTCATCGTTACTATATTTTATACCTGGGTCAGTACTATCAGGCTCAACATAATAAGACAGACAAAATGCTGAATTGTTTTGAATCTCATAATGAAGCAAACGCTTCCAACTCTATACAGAAGATTCAACGATTCTGTCAACTGTATGCAACAATGGGAGTCTGATTGTGTAACTATTGTACTCATCGTTATACTCTTAAATCATAAACATCATCACCATAATCAGAGATGGCATTGGACGAATCCTTTGTTTTACTATGCATGCGTCCAAATGTACGCCATGATGCACATTTAATTATCATTTTTGTTAATATTCGTTGTTTCAATTGTCACATGGCAATGTATTTGATTTTTCTCGAGGTGTTCGAGAACAGGGTCCGTTGTTTACGTCACACGGAATCAATAGAAAACATATGCAAAATCCTAAATTATACGTAGCATCGTGGTTGGTAGTCTACTATCACAGACTAGAGTGCACCACAAATAAGATCATACAAGTTTGCTATTAATGTCCACAAATGAGTCCTAACACCGACTCACCGGAGACACACATGAAGTTGTTCCCCGACTCCAGGTGAACACAGACGTGGCCCTCTGTACAGGGGCGAGCTTCACACGGGCTCGGGAACATCTGCAGTGAGACGCACTAATATTAATGAGTAAGTGAATGAGTTGGGTTTAACCCCAGTTTGAACAGTATTCCATTTATATCACGACGTGTCAGCATAATGTGGGAGAAAAGTCCGAAGTGATGCAGGTCTCTGACGTTAACCACTTGGGTGAAATCCACGAGCACGGGTATGGTGCTGACAAACCTAGAAACATAATCGGGGCGAAGGAGACTCAACTCAGCACAGCTAATTGCGGTGCCTTAGGCGATTAATATTTGTCAGATTATGACATCTTTTGCGCATCTATGGTATAATTTCTGTACGTACATCGGCCTAGTTTGATCCACGAGGCTTATGAGCTATGACAGGTTACATGTTTAACTACCGATTTTAATCGGTTCCTTTGACAAGCGGTCCTTGGGTACTTGGGACCAACTCTGTACTAGAATTGTTATCGGGGTTTTCATTTCGAATAAAAGCCTCGGCGATTTAGTGGATGCTACTTTTGTACATCAGTGTGGAACGAAATTGAATAAGGCCAAACGTTCTTGAAAATACTACAATTAAAACCTGCTGATTACTTGTTTTTTCGAACTAACGACCTGTTTTTCTATCTAGAAATATGAACACAAAACAGATATAACAAAAACAATTAAAGTAAAAAAAAAGAAGTAAGACCAAAAGTGAGCCATCTCAGACCACATCATCAACTGTTCAAATCAGAAGATCATGGACAATGTACAAATCCTATCAAACAATGTCAATGACTTCACAAAACTAAACTAGCAGAAGAAGGTCAAATCCGCCGACACAAGACGTCAATCAACAGGATCAAGGATACTTCATCCCGTCTGCCTTCAAAGAATTGATAAATGTATAGAACACACCAGCTTTCATCTCTCATCTGTATAATTATACCCCGTAAATCTCTTTCACTCATACCCTTATGTTGTTTTTGTTAATCCCTATTAGACCCTGAACTGTCTTTCTTCACCCTTGCTTGACAAATGTAAAAGGATCTATAACGAAACGTCGCATCATAAAGAATAACGAAGTTGCCATCTATAAAATATCGTGTGTTTACTGTTGCTAACCATCTGCAAAAAATACCAGTTAAACGCTTGGCTTTTGAGAATTGAAATCGATTTTTTTCTGTTTATGAAACACTTGATCGACACAGGATCTAAGTGCATCACTTAGCGTTAAAGCAGGGATTCGTGACTAATAATGCAACTTTCATCTTAGAAATAGGATTTAGTATCTTCTGTATGGAACAGGGCTTCATGATTGATGGATTTACGACAGAAGTCTTTCGAACCCATTCGAACCCTCAGATCTATTAACAAACTTCAAATTTTCAAATTAAAGTCTTTCGGGTACACTGTTCTATTCCAAATGACCGTCCCTGTGCTTAAGTGGTAGAGCGTCCGCCCGGAGAGCGGAAGGTCCGGGGTTCGATCCCCGGCCGCGTCATTATAAAAAGACGTTAAAAGATGGTACTTGTTGTTACCCTGCCTGTCGCTCGGCATTAAGGGGCTAAAACAAGGACTGGTCGGCTCGGAGTCAGTGTACAGTGTCTGAGTGGTGTATTCATGTTAAACTGTGGCATGGTGTCTCAGTGGGCTAGCACTATAAATCGGCATCGGTCCGGACTAGTACGAGCAGCCACACACACACACACACACACACACACACACACACACACACACACACACACACACACACACACACACACACACACACACACACACACACACACACACACACACACACACACACACACACACACACACACACACACACACACGTGCATGCACGTCGCTATAAAAGTGCAATAATCGTGGAAGCGACGTTAAACCCACTTTCACCTCACATCACCTATTCCTCCTCAGCACAACCGTCATGGAATTCTTTACCTTCCGTTTGTTTCTTCCCTCCAAGCCTTCAAATCATAATTGAAAAACATATCTCTTCAGAAAAGTGTACCGCACAGCTCCTATGTTGGACTTTGATCAACTACCGCGTATGTGGATGTTACGTTTCAAGACCGTGACAAGTGGACTATTTGATGTAAAGTTCGCGAAGAACAATGCATCTGTACGCGACACTGGTTGTATCGGTTTGTGTTAGTAGTTGTGTAAATAGTTATGTCGGATCGTGTCTGAAGTTCTGTCTGCTCGTGTAATAGTTGTGACTGTTTGTGTAAGATGTTGTGTCGGCTTGTGTAAGTAGTTGTGTGGTTTTGTGTAAGTATTTGTGCGGTCTAGTGTAAGTAGTTGTGTGGGCTTGTGTAAGTAGTTGTGCGGTTTTGTGTAAGTAGTTGTGTGGGCTTGTGTAAGTAGTTGTTCGGTCTAGTGTAAGGAGTTGTGCAGTCTTGTGTAAGTAGTTGTGTGGGCTTGTGTAAGTAGTTGTGTCGGCTTGTGTAAGTAGTTGTGTGGGCTTGTGTAATTAGGTTTTTCGGCTTGTGTAAGTAGTTGTGTGGGCTTGTGTAAGTAGTTGTGTGGGCTTGTGTAAGTAGTTGTGTGGGCTTGTGTAATTAGGTTTTTCGGCTTGTGTAAGTATTTGTGTGGGCTTGTGTAAGGAGTTGTGCGGTCTTGTGTAAGGAGTTGTGTGGGCTTGTGTAAGTAGTTATGTAGGTTTGTGTAAGTAGTTGTGTCGGCTTGTGTAAGTAGTTGTGTGGGCTTGTGTAATTAGGTTTTTCGGCTTGTGTAAGTAGTTGTGTCGGCTTGTGTAAGGAGTTGTGCGGTCTTGTGTGAGTAGTTGTGTGGGCTTGTGTAAGTAGGATTTTCGGCTTGTGTAAGTAGTTGTGTGGGCTTGTGTAAGTAGTTGTGTGGGCTTGTGTAAGTAGTTGTGTGGGCTTGTGTAAGTAGGATTTTCGGCTTGTGTAAGTAGTTGTGTGGGCTTGTGTAAGTAGTTGTGCGGTCTTGTGTAAGTAGTTGTGTGGGCTTGTGTAAGTAGTTGTGGGGTTTTGTGTTAGTAGTTGTGTGGCCTTGTGTAAGTAGTTGTGTGAGCTTGTGTAAGTAGTTGTGCAGTCTTGTGTAAGTAGTTGTGTGGCCTAGTGTTAGGAGTTGTGTGGTCTTGTGTAAGTAGTTGAGTGAGCTTGTGTAAGTAGTTGTGTGGGCTTGTGTAAGTAGTTGTGTGAGCTTGTGTTAGTAGTTGTGTGGGCTTGTGTTAGTAGTTGTGCGGTCTAGTGTTAGGAGTTGTGTGGTCTTGTGTAAGTAGTTGTGTGAGCTTGTGTAAAACGTTGTGTGGGCTTGTGTTAGTAGTTGTGCGGTCTAGTGTAAGGAGTTGTGTGGTCTTGTGTAAGTAGTTGTGTGAGCTTGTGTAAGTAGTTGTGTGAGCTTGTGTTAGTAGTTGTGCGGTCTAGTGTTAGGAGTTGTGTGGTCTCGTGTAAGTAGTTGTGTGAGCTTGTGTAAAACGTTGTGCGGTCTAGTGCAAGTAGTTGTGCGGTCTAGTGTAAGGAGTTGTGTGGTCTTGTGTAAGTAGTTGTGTGAGCTTGTGTAAGTAGTTGTGCAGTCTTGTGTCAGTAGTTGTGCGGTCTAAGACTGGCGAAGACTGACTCATGGGCAGGCCCATGGGCGGGAATATGTTCCTTTACTCAAAACTCATGTTTTTGTTTCGCAAATACATTAAATGTAGTCATTCAAGTATCATGACACAAAATTTAACTCATTTTAACTTAATTCAGCTATTTTATAGCGATATTGAAATATTTCGCCCATGGGCGTGAAAAAGGTTTGGCCCATGGGCGAGAATATGTTCCTTTACTTAAAACTCTTGTTTTTGTTTCGCAAATACATTAAATGTAGTCATTCAAGTATCATGACACAAAATGTAACTCATTTTAACTTAATTTAACTATTTTATAGCGATATTGAAATATTTCGCCCATGGGCGAGAAAAAGGTTTGGCCCATGGGCAGGCCCATGGGCGAGAATATGTTCCTTTACTTAAAACTCATGTTTTTGTTTCGCAAATACATTAAATGTATTCATTCAAGTATCAAGACACAAAATTTAACTCATTTTAACTTAATTCAACTATTTTATAGCGATATTGAAATATTTCGCCCATGGGCGAGAAAAAGGTTTGGCCCATGGGCAGGCCCATGGGCGAGAATATGTTCCTTTACTTAAAACTCATGTTTTTGTTTCGCAAATACATTAAATGTATTCATTCAAGTATCAAGACACAAAATTTAACTCATTTTAACTTAATTCAACTATTTTATAGCGATATTGAAATATTTCGCCCATGGGCGAGAAAAAGGTTTGGCCCATGGGCGAGAATATTTTCCTTTACTCAAAACTTATGTTTTTGTTTCGCAAATACATGCAGGTGTTCTTACCATTTTCATGGCACATAATGTTACTCAATTTTACTTAATTCAACTATGTTATAGCGTTTTTGAAATAATTCACCCATGGGCGAGAAAAGGTTTTGCCCATGGGCAGGCGCATGGGCGAGAATATTTCCCTTTGCTCAAAACTTGTGTTTTAGTGTCGCATATACATAGTTCTCAGAAGTTTCATGTCACATAATTTAACAAATTTTAACTTAATTCAACTATTTTACGGCGTTATTAAGATATTTCGCCCATGTTTTCGTCAGTCCCTTTAAAGCATCAACTAACTGTGTGCAAAGTATACTGTATCATGTGAAATATACTTTATATTATATCATTACATTACTATTTAAAAAGGGCATTTGGTTGGATGTTTCCTTTATAGAAGTTCTACAAATTTCACATTTTTTACATATTGTAGCGATCTTTAATGAATCCGGCCTTACCTCTCAAAACGTTTTGACAGTTTATGGTACGAATTCATGTGCGTGTACTCCAATTCATTGGAGTTATTTTCCACAACATTAAAGTTTAGTTAGTTTCTTTTTCATTTCCCATTCATGTCCGTTGATACATCACGAAATCTCGAAATAATTATTTAATTATATGCGGTGTCGAACTGACCAATGGGAATTATATTTCCAGGCGATTGAGGAAAACTTGAGTGAATATTAT